ACAGAATAATGGGTTCTAAATTCCAAATGCTGATGAATGTCCAAACTCTCAAAACGATGCCATCATTTCTATTAGCTGCTTTGCTTTCACAATTTATGTTAATTTATAGTCAATTTCAATTATTACATAGCACGGCGAAAACAAAATCGTGGCTCATTTTAGCAGTATTGGGAACTGGGAAATGGCTCAGTTGGTAAAAGTACTTGCTACAATCATGAGGGTCCAAGTCTGATCCCTAAAAGTTGCATAAAAAAAAAATTGGGCACTGTGGTAGGCGTATAGCCCTAGGGAGGCTGAGACAAGTGGCTGCCTAGGTCTTGTTGGTCAGCCAGCCTTTCGGAATAAGCAAGCCTCAAGTTCCTGTAAGAGACACTGTCTCAAAAGACAAGGTGGATGGCTCCTGAGGAACAGTGCCCAAAGGGGACCTCTGACCTCCACACTCGTGCACACACGTGCATGCAGATAAATAAATACAGACACACATACACAAGAACAACAAAAGAATTTGGTATTGCTAAAGAGGAAAGACTGCAGAGCGGCTAGTCTACTACCATATTTTCTGGTTTACAAACTTTGACATTTTGTAAGATACAACCAAATTTTTTAAGCATGTTTAATGGAGGTGTATAATTTCACATTCAGGAGTATAAAGAGAAAATGCATTGGTGTGCCCTTCCTTTGAGGAAGCCCTGAGATGCTTTGCAAGCAGACACTCTGAACGAAGCTTGGGAGTCTGAGGAGAGGGGCTCTGGATTGGTTGAAATATTGACATATCACAGCACCATAAGATCTTCCCATTTAGTGGCAGCTATTACAGATTGTAGCCATTTGCCCTGAATGAGATATATTTGGGGCATGCAGCAAAACAATTCAGTCCTATCTACAGCTTTTATTTAACAGTGTGAATTTCCGTATTGCAAACTGGATATGATGGGACTGACAAATTAGAAAACATGTTTTGCAAAACACAGATTATTGGTTATATCAGGATCAGGTCTAGTTGCCAACGCACTCATGTAAGAAATAAATGGAAGCAACTGTTGCAACAGCTGCTTTCCTTATCATAACAGAGGTAATAAGGATGATAAGAATATATGAAAGCGCTAGGCTAATGGCAGAGTTAATGGTGATGAGAAAAAAAAAAGATCAGTATTAATGACAAAAATGTAGATAGAATCTAAGGCGATATTTTCTACAGAAGTAGAATTATATTTCCACATTTTTTTTTAAACTTGAAGTTTGTTGTTGTTGCTTTTAAATAAAACTCATAGGCACCAAAGTTTTTAAAACATCTCCCAATAACTTAAGGATGTTCTCCAGGACCACGCCAGTGCTTTTGTAACTGGTAAAGGCAGTCTCTAGCTGCAGACTAGACTTGGTTAGCACAGCTACAAACTGACAAGATCGTGGCAAAAATATTGTTTCCCTTGGCTCTTAAAATGAATGCCGAGCCTTAATATTGGAGAGCCAGTTGTGTTCTGGAACACTTCCTAACATCTCATGCACAGTCCTTTAGCACTTACACCCCCCCACCCCGGGGAGGCCAGCTCTGCCCCCAGTACCCACTCAGTTTTTCTCCTCCCTTTCACTCACTCAGCTTACGTAGTGACTAAGCCTCCTCTTCGCCTTTTTAAATTTTATAAGCTTATTTCAGCCTACGTGCTGGTGTATATAGTTAAGCCCGATTTAATTAAAATATTAAGTAAGCTTCCATAAGGCATAAAGAAAATCATTTAGTAAAGTCCAGATATATTACATCTACCAAATTCCCTCCACCCACTTTGTACTGTGGTCAGAGGAATGCAAGCGCATATGCCTAACATCATCTGTTCTGCATAAACTCACACTGCTCATCACCAGGCTTTCACTGTGCCCTTGGTGCATACATAATACTTTTTCTCTTCATTTCCACACTGTTTATTTCACTAAGAACTTAAGATGATAATGGCCAGGAGGGCCGCCTTCTTTACAAAGTATTTTTAACTTCTTTATTGTTCCCATTGTTTTTGAGATGCCTTCGTTATTCCAATCCCAAGAAATATTTCCCAGTAGGAACATAAACTCAGTGGGTAATTTTCCCAGCAACCGAAGGTGCTTTATTTAAACCAAATGTGCTTAATTGCTGTGCTCTGTGCATTCACTTTTAGCTGAAGTTCAAATAGCTTATTGACATTGTCATTAATCTTAGGTACCATTCTCATCTTTTCAGTTAATTACTCTCTGATAGAATCATAAGAAAAATTTGTAATTCTGAGTCATGGTGCCAGTTTGATCAGAGGTTATGTTTGTCTGTCATCCATTGTAGAGTACTTTTAAATACTTTATACTAGCTCCATGACATATTCAATTAGGCTAGCTTTAGCATACTTAAGCGATGATTCTATTTGTCACATTAGAACACTCCATGACAGTCAGTCAAATAACTACTAGTCAACCTCTAGAAACTCACAAGTCAGCAATGAGGGTCACATTTGTTTATTTTATATGATGAGCTAAAGACCATGACTCAAATCTGTACTAATCAAAAGTAAATTTTGTTGTATTAATAAAACCTACTTACTTAGGTAATTATTTGTCAATTTAAGAATACTACAGGTAAAACTAATTGGCCCAGTTTGATGAGTTTCCACAAAATAAAAAGAGTAAGTCCACATTTTTAGATATAGAGGAGTTGAAAGGGAGTAAGGCTTTGAGCAGCAAAACAGTAAGACTAATTCCTGTAGAATCTGCAAGAAAGGAAACTGGGAAGGTATGCATGCGAATGTATTCAGTTTCTCCTCATGCCCTCCCCCAAAAAAAGAACGAAAAGAAAAAAGAAATAGAAAAATGTGTTAAGAATTCTACTTTTCCCTGTTGCTTCAAATTAAGTCTACCTCTGCACTTCCACTTACCATGTTCAGCCATGACAGTTTTCTGAATGACTCCTTCCTATTCTTAGAACTTTAGGAAGACCCTGAAGCTCACAAAACCCTAAAGACATTAAGGAGAGATGCTGGCCTGAGTAGGCCCTGTGCTTCCTGCTTCAGTCTCTGTGAGCTCATATGCATTTTGCTTAGTTAATGCAGAGGGCCTTGTTCTCCTGGTGTCCTCTATCCTCTCTCTTACACTCATTCTACCTCCTCTTCTACAGGATTCCCTGAGCTCTGAGGGAAGGGATTTGATGGAGACATCCCATTTAGACTCCCTTTCCTTGTAAAGTCTGGCTGTAGGCCTCTGCATTTGTTCCTCTGCTGCCAGAGGAAGCTTCTCTGACCATGATTGAATAAGGCACTGATCTATAAGTACAGTAGAATATCAATAGGAGTCATTTATCAATACTTTTTTTTTAGATCAGTAGTGTTTGGTTTTATTCTAGGTATCTGGGCTATCTAGTCTCTGGTTCTTGGTCCCCCAAGCAGTGTCAAGTATAGGTTCTGTCTTGTGGAGTGGGCCTTAAGTCAAATCAGACATTGGTTGGTTGGTTGCTCCCACAAGGTCTATGCCATCACTGCCCCAGCATATTCTCTTGCTTCTTTAGGAATTCAATAACTAATCTACCACAGAGAATGGTATTTCTTATAAGTAGAAGAAAAGAAATAATAGTTAAGTTTCCATATGTTACAACATTAAGTGATTAATAACTCACCTTTTACACAAGTCTGTCTTCCAAACTAGGATAAAATAAATAAATAAACAAACCTTCTGAATGAATTTCAGAGTCTGTGTTAAAGTTGAGCTGACTCATTACCCATTTTTCTTCCTTTCCTTTCTTTTCTTTCTACTGGCTTTTGTCTAACTCCAGAAGAGCTAACATGAATTAATGTTATGTAGAAAATGGATTGTATCAGGCTTTGAATGAACAGTAGACTCTTGTATGCAGCTGTAGCAGAGTTCTTTGCTGTTGTTCCCTTTGAGGGAGGGAGTGAGATGGTGCAGAGTCAATGACACAGACTCTGGGAGGATGTGGAAACAACAAGCTCAGTTTATTCAGGAAGAGGCAAGCCTTATATACCCTACACCCTACCCTGGGGGGAGGTCTGATGAATATACATCTGCTGGTGTGACATGGCTTCCTCTCACTGGTCCAGGTTATCTCCAAATTATGTCTCAACTGCCATTGCTAAGGCCCTTAGGCAGACCCAGGTTGGCTCTCAGGAAGTATCTTATTACTGGTTTGGGCTGGCTGGCCCTCAAGCCTGTTAGGGCTGAGTCATCCCACATGCAACAACTTGCTTGTTGCTTCAGAGGCTCCATCTCTTCAGATGCCTGCCATGCCCAGTCACTCACACAAAGCAAACAAAACTTCTCATATTTTCTGAAATACACTCCAGGGTGGCTCCTCCCTTGTGGGATATAATACGTTTCCATTTTAATCTTTCTGAGGCTATGTTGCACCAGCATTCTTTATCTGGGCCAATTGACTTCATAGAGAGGAAAATAACTCTACAAGACTGTATCTCTAATGATAGTCAACAGAGTAATTCAGCATGATCACCAGAAAAATTTTCAGAGACTGTTTCCGGACAGTTGGTCAATTGCATCATTTCTGTATGATAGACAGCATACTATTTATACTATAATTTGCCAAGAAAATGTTTCTCTGAAGAATATGCTACAGGATTTACGAGAGTGTCACATGAAAGAGAATGACTTCAGTTCAATTCAAACAAGGTTGTGCTATGAATATCAACACCATTCAAAAGTTACTTGTACCAGTTATAATAAATAAGACAATTATGATAAGGTGTTTTTAACAGTTGAAAGTAAAATAAAAAATGCTGAATGAGATAAGGATTTTCAAGAGAAAGAACAATGATTAAAATACTTAATATATGATTAATCTACTAGAAAATGTAACAGGTAATGAAACCGCTGACAATATTCAATACTCTAATATTTTAGATGACTTAGAGGAATACATATGCTTTAAGCACTCTTGAGTATAAGTCCATATCCTATAAATTTATTCAAATACTTTTTATTAATTTTATTAATTATTTGTTTATTGTTATCTTGTCTAGGTTGCTTCTGGTGGCAAACCTTGGGAACTGGGAAGATACCATACTTTTCTAAGGATCCATTTTCTAAAGACAGTGCACATTACTGTATCCACAGAATAATCTTCCCCACCTCATTGCACTAAGAAGAATGCAGGCAATTCTCTCACAGCTAAATTCCATGCAAAAATCAACATTTTGAAGTTACCAAAATCCAGTCCGTTGGTGACATGGAGTAAACTACTACAGAGATGAGATGAGGTAAGGCGAGATGAGGTGATAAGGTGAGATAAAGAGATGAGATACTATGTCATGTGAGATCAACCTGACCCACTAGCATGCCCATTATTCCTGGTGCCATTTCCCATGAGCCTCTCTTGGCCAATCACCATCTGCAAAGGGTCAGGGCTTCTTAGGGTCTTTCTATCTTTACAATTTCTGACCTAACAAAAGGATCCTTTTCAGTTTCAATTAACCCAGGGGGGATGGGTTGCATTTTTAGAGGAAATTATACTATATATTCAGTGATAACACCTAACTGGTAAATAACAACCTATTTTGTACCAGCAGAAAAAAAAAATTATTTTGAAAACATTTCACGTTCATCCATTTACAGATAGAAAATCATTGAAGAGAAAAGCTAGAGCCTATGGACCATGAAGTTAATTCATGTAAAGCATTCTTTGCCATTTCATCAACTTGATGAACACAGGTCAGAAATTAGACTGTACTTTGTGAGCCAACCACAAAGAAACATGGTGAGAGACATGACTAATTGTAGCACTCAGAAACTAGAGTTTCCAATATAGACTCAGAAATAAATATATCCTACGAGTTCATATTAAAATATGTGTGTGAACAGTGTCTTCAATATTGCATTTCTAAAAAAAATGCAGTATTAAGTTTCAAGGAAAGCTAATGATATGCTAATTCAGCAGAAGCTCTTCTCACTGGAATGCACAGCCTGGTTTAATAATTTTTAAAAAATATATCAAAATTAAAATGTGCTGGTGTCCACAAGGGAGGAGCCACAATGGATAATATTTTAGAAATTATGAGGGGTATTGTTGCTCTCTGTGTAGACACTGGGTACGACAGGCATTGGATGGAAATGAGCCCCAGAAGCCTGCTATCCATCTGTACACAAGGATCCTGCTTAGAAAGAGTTGCTACAGCCCTGTGACTAGCACCTTTGCAAGACTTCAGATACCAGGTTCACGCTTTGACATTCAACAGCATTTCCAAACAGATGTGTTTACATCACTTGCCCAGCCCGTGACTTCAGACATTATTTTCATATTATGCTGAGAGATGAAACAAGCTTGTTTACTAATGCTTCAATTTTCTCACACTGACAATTTGTGGTTTTCAGTGGTATGTTTTCCCCACTTGCATAAGCTTCTTCCTTTTTTCTCTGATCATTTACACATATGTCAAGGAAATATCATTTATCATTGCATTCATTCCATTTTTACTTTGCCTTTAATTTCTCATCCTATATATATAATAGTGTCTAGCTCATTTACCTTAAATCTAAGTATTTTATCAAAGTAACTACGAGCATCTGTTTCTTTGTTTTCTAATCTAATCATTGGTGAGGACTTGCATATTAAAATTTATTATATAATACTTTATTTTAAACTCCATTGTTTTTCTTTGCTATTTTATAGTTAGAACATTTTATTCTTTTAAAATGACTTGATTAGGGGAAGAACATTGTTCTTGTATATTTTATGATCTCTGTTTCTCCATATCATAGAGGAGGAGACAAATACAATAAGTATCATCACAAAAGAACAGTGACAGTGGCAGAGCCAAAGGCCACTCATAGAAATAGGGGGTGCTTGCAAAGAAAATGAGCTAGTTTCTCCCTTTTCTCAGTAGATATACATTTATATAGCATTTTAGTGGCTCTACATTTCTACTGAGGTAGACAGAGTGAAATTAATGGGGGGAGAGAGGGGCCAATGAGCTAGCCTACACCACCATTTGAGGACAAGGTTTGATGGTTCTATTAGGTTAATATGTCTGTGATTTGTTTAAGGAACATTCATTTTAAGAAAAAGAAAAAGGAAGGAAAGAAAGAAGGAAGGAAAGAAAGAAGGAAGGAAGGAAGGAAGGAAGGAAGGAAGGAAGGAAGGAAGGAAGGAAGGAAGGAAGGAAGGAAGAAAGAAAGGAAGGAAGGAAGGAAGGAAGAAAGGAAGGGAGAAATATCTTGCATCTAACTTGACAAAATCTAGAATCATCCTAGAAATGGGCTTCTAGGTATGCCAACCTGGATATCTTGATTACATTAATTCATTATGGGAAGATCGACCTCAGCTGTCAGTGGGAAATGCCCAAAGATGACTAGAAGACTGCTACAATGTGGCTAGCTGTGATTGGTTCCTGCCAAAACCTACATTGAGGTTTAATTGCCAATGGAAAGGTATTAAAAGGCAATGGGTCCTTTAAGAGCTGTTGGGTTATGAAGGCTCTGCCCTTCTGAAAGGATGAATGCATTTCCTGAGAGTGAGCCACCCCCATTTGTACCGCTCACTCTATGCATACACCTATTTGCCCTTTCATTTTCTGCGTGTTAAGCAGCATGATGTCTTTGTCAGAGGTGGTTACCCAACCTTGAACTTCTCAGCTTTCATAACCATCAGCCAAAATACAGTATTTTGTAAGTTACCGACTCTCTGCCATCATTAAGCAGCAGAAAGCAAACTAAGCCAAATAGTTTCTCTCGTTCCATATTCATCTTACGATGATGAAGACCGTGCTCCCATAAGGAAAATGGGTCTGTACCCCTTGCCTTTGTATCTAGAGGGGCATATATTTCTGCACATGGCAGAAATGATCCTAAAGCTCAGGCATAGCAGGAATTTAGCTTTCCATTTTGCTGGCTGAAATATTGGCTTTTGAAGTTTTCAGCCTTCTCATATTAAATGTGAGTCACTGAAGACCCCATGATAGGAGGGAGCCCTAAGTAGGCCATGGGAGGAACCCAATAAAGATGTCCAGGGATCCCACTGACCATAGCCAGCTGCTCTGGTGTCCTGCAGTCTCAGCTACAGCCACCAGCATTTGACAGCAACTGTTTGAGAGAGTGTGAGCCAGACCCAACCATCTGGGCCCCTCACAAATTCCTGACTCACAGAGACAGAGAGATAATAAAATGGGAACTGTGGCTTTTGCCACTAACAGTAGAAAACACAACATATGGTGTTCTGGTAACCATCCTTAAAAAAAAATCCTCATCCTACTACCATTTATGAAATAATCAACCCTTTCCTTGCTCATTCAACAACGAAGCTCTGTTAAAGTTTTTCTGTTTCCGTATCTATTTCTGGACACACCCCTCTTTCATTTCACTTGGTCTGTCTACCTCAATACAGATGTACATCCCTACCCCCACAGAATATAGATGTAAATCCCTATCCCCACACAATGCAGATGTAGATCCCTATCCCCACACAATGCAGATGTAGATCCCTATCCCCACACAATGCAGATGTAGATCCCTATCCCCACAGAATACAGATGTAGATCCCTATCCCCACACAATGCAGATGTAGATCCCTATCCCCACACAATGCAGATGTACATCCCTACCCGTACAGAATACAGATGTAGATCCCTATCCCCACACAATGCAGATGTAGATCTCTATCCCCACACAATGCAGATGTAGATCCCTATCCCCACACAATACAGATGTACATCCCTACCCCTACAGAATACAGATGTAGATCCCTATCCCCACACAATACAGATGTAGATCCCTATCCCCACACAATGCAGATGTAGATCCCTATCCCCACACAATACAGATGTAGATCCCTACCCCTACAGAATACAGATGTAGATCCCTATCCCCACAGAATACAGATGTAGATCCCTATCCCCACAGAATACAGATGTAGATCCCTACCCCCACAAAATACAGATGTAGATCCCTATCCCCACACAATGCAGATGTAGATCCCTACCCCTACCCCTTCTCTGCATCATTTTAAATAGGACTGTGTAATACATTTTCACAGTGATCAGGGCCTGTCCCAACCTGAATTACATTTTTCAATAGTGTGCCTCTCATCTCCTATATGAATTTTAGATCGGTCTTTAAGGTCAAAAAATAAACACCAAACTTTCATTTGAACTTTTTTTAAAAATTATTATCTTATTTTAAAACATTAAAATGTCTCAAGAGGCTGGATACATGCTTTTCCATGTATTTAAGCTTTCTGTCACTTTTTCAGTCATTTTTTAGTTTATTTCTTTATATAACTCTGGGAATTCCTTGGCAAATTTGTTCTCAAGCATTTTCTATTTCTGTTCCTAGATTTCATTGCCCCCCCACACACACATACTGCTTTTTTTCTCTAACAGGCACACTATAGAAGTATTGTCTCTTTATCATTACTTCAGAGGACTCTCCAATTGTAACAGCTCTTCAGCTTATTTTCACAAATAAACTGGACAGATTTTTTTTTGTTTCCAAGCAAACAATAATATCTTCTGCAAATAATTATAATTTTGTTGTTTACTGTCCCATTTTTTATGCCTCCTTTCACTGTCTTATTTTGTTACATTGGTTAACGGTTTCAGAAAAAAATCATCAATGGTTATACATTTTAAGAATAAAATGAAGAAGCTGTTATATTCCTCTAAAACGTTTGTAGAGATGACCTTACCCATTAGAAGCTTTTACAACAAAGTTTCCAGGATATCCACACCAAAAAATATCTCACAAAGATCCAACTATCTCACTCTTGAGCATTTACTGAAAAGGAATCAAAATTGGCATACGATGGAGAATCATACATACCCACACCTACTGTACCACTACTCACAATGCTCAAGTTACAGGATCAGCCCAGGTGTCTCTTAACCGATGAATGAATAACATATGAAGGATACACACAAAAGAGTTATTCAGAACTAAAATATGAAATTGTGTCATATGCCAGGAAAATGAATAGTACTACAGATTCTTGTGTGAAGCAAAAAAGAAAAAAAACTGACTCAGAAATAAAAATGTTTCATGTTTTTCTCTTATTTCTCTTATATAGGGAATCTACACATTAAAAAAAAGACATAAGAAAATGGGGACTGTGGGGGAAAATGAAGTGGGAAAGAGAATAGTAAGTAATAAAGGTTAATTTAATTAAAGCACATTATATGTGTGTTTTAAAATGTTGCAGTGAAGTCATTATTGTGGATAGTTAATATGCACTACTAACTTCAGTAAAACAGAGCTAAAACTTTAAGAAGTGATTAGGCTGACAGGGCTCCCTCCTTGTTAATGGCGCCCTTATAAAAGGCTTCCATACAAAGTTAACTGACTTCAATCTTCTGCTATGGAAGAACAAGCAAGATGCCCCCAGTGAGCCGAAAGTCAACACCTTGACCTTGGATTCCCATCCTCCAGAACCATGAGAAACAGCTGCCTGTTATTCCAGTAACCCAGCCAGAACTAGTAACCCAGTCAGAACTAGTTTGAAACAACATAGATTAAATGAGCATCCAATTACAAATCACAAAATCTACCCAGAAGATTTTTTTAAAAATCTGTTACTTAGAAAATTCAACTTCTAGGATCTAAGTTATCTAAACTTCAAATCCACCAATGACTTGGAATTTTCTCATGTTAAACCAAAGATCAATATACTTCTTTATGAGAACCCAAGTGTCATGAACATCAAAGATAAAAGGATTGAACATTTTCATTTCAAGCAGAGTTTTAATGTATTTTGCAAACTGTAATAAGCTAACCTTGTTACATCCAATAGCACTCCTTACTGGAGAAGTCAGGCTAAAAGCTAAACCAGGGCAGCAAATTAGTGTGAAGCTAGGAATGGGGTGTAGCTCAGTGGTAGAGTAATTGTTCAGCATTTACAAGTCTCTGTGTTCAATACCCAGCACTATCACCACAACAACAATGACAAGAAACTTTGCAATGAAATTGATATAGAAACTTAGGGTGCTGCATGCAAAAATCAACTGTAGTATATGACTCCATATTAAACAGTATCAAACAAATTTAAGCAAAATGTCACAAGAAGAATTCATAAATAAGCTCAAGAGAGATAGGGGTAACTTTACAGTGGAAGCTTGAAGTGTAGGCAGAATTCCTATATATAAAAATAATATAAGTCAAAAAGTTGAAAGGAAGGGAACCAGTGACTACCCTCAACAGAGCAGAAAGCAAAAAACAAAAAAACAAACAAACAAAAAACCCTGGATGATGTGCAGAGCACAGAATGTCACACTAAGAGCACAGACAAGAGAAATTAGCATGAAAAGGAACTTTCTGTGCTGTCTTAGGGTTATTATTGCTGTGAAGAGACACCATGACCACAGCAAATCTTACAAAAGAAAACATTTAATTGGGATGGCTTACAGTTCAGAGGTTTAGTCCATTAACATCATGGTAAGACATGGTGGCATGCAGACAGACAAGGTGCTGGAGAAGGAACTGAGAGTTCTACATCTTGATCCAAAGGCAACAGTAAGTAAACTGAGGCGCTGGACATGGTTTAAGCATACATTCAAACTACCATACCCATACCCCACTCTGTCTTCAGAATCTTTCCTTGTGGTAACTCACAAGGGATGCCAGCAATAAGCATAGACAATATGCTTGAGACATGTTTGAGTTATGGGTGTCTATATCATATTTTCAACAGGAAGGTGACATGATCAAACGAAGTCTTTAAGAAGAAAAACTTGATAACATTCAAAACTGAGAAAGGAAGTGTCTGGGAACCAAAGAGGCTTGGGAGAAGCTTGCTGGAAAATATAATCCATGATACATAAGGCTTCCACTCTGCAACCTCTTGCCTCAAGGAATACTGTCCCCATCACACATCTTAAATTGATCCAACTACCCTAAAGCAATCTGCAAAATTATAGTGCCCCTTCAAACACCCATGTCATTTTTACTGGTACCTACAAGTGCACTTCTTGAGTTTATGCATCTTAACCTATTCCAGGCTTGATTAGTTATTTCATTTCAGCAACACTTTTCTCAGACTTCAATGAGCATAGCTATCATGTTCTATTTTAATTAAATGCCTAAAATGGCTAGTTCCTGCAACTTTTGAAATATTTGTAGGTAGGGCTTGTGTCCTCTTTATATTTTCAAAATCAGGCACAGCATCTCAACAGGCCCTCAGTGAATGTATGAACTCAATTACAAGATGGAAAGAGGACTATGGACTAACAGGGAAGACCTGAGAATGAAATGTAAGAGAAAGCTGCTCTGAGATGACCTCCATCAGTGCTCAGCCGCACGGAATCATCTACAGCTGCCGGTCTAGGCAGAGTTTGTCTTGTTTGCTTTGTTTCTGCTTTCTGTTTTATTTATTTACTTGTGCTCCCATATAGCAATAGTCCTATCTAGTACTATTGTATGGACCTCAAAACCGGCCATGTGACCTGTTAGAAAGGTGGTCCTTTCTAGGGTAGAAGGCATGTCATCCAGGCTGAGCTCATGGAAATCCTTCCCTAAAAATGACTCTCCTTGTAGCTGTGGAGAAGATTCTGTTTTGCTTGGTGGTCAGGTTGAAAAAAAAAAAAAAAGGTGTGAATCATTACATTTGGCTTCAAGAAAACAAAGGTATTTTCAGTTTTATTTATAGTGGAACAGTGATGGGCATAAAATAAACACTGAAAAAATGTGATGTAGATGTGTTCACAGCTTTAGGTAGCTGTGTTTGAGCTGCAGCTGGGTTTTGAATCACTAGTAAATAGAAGACCTAATCAATTGATAAGAAAATCACCCTGAGGGCTTCATTACATTAGTACAGATTTTGCCAAAATATACTAAGAAAAATTAAAATGTTTAAAAATAATACTACCTTTGTTAATGCCATTCCATCTCAACAAGTAAAAGCTAAGAAGGATTCAGCTTTTAAAAAATCATTTTTCTAATATTCAGTTCTTCTGACTATACAAAGACTTTCTTTGCTGCCTATGTGAAACAAAGGTTGGACCTGAAACAATTCATGCAACTAGGACATGCAGCAGTATATTGGGTTGAATATTGGCTCTACAAAACAATATGCACCAGTCTTAGGCCTCAGTGCTTGTGAACATGAACTTATCTGGGAAAGGTTTTTGCATGTATTAGTATGCTAAAGATCTCGAAATGAACTTAATCTGTGTTTTAGGTGTACCAGGCATTCATTCAAGAAAATAAAGAGGGAGATTTTTTTGACCAGTGGGAATCTTGTCAACTTGTTGGATAAAGAGACACTTATGAGACTCATAAAGTACACTTCTATGTGTCTGAGAGCATGTTACCAGAGATGATTGGTATATGGGATAGCAATGAGGTGGGAAAACCCATTCCTAAATGTGAGAAACACTACCCAATAGTCTACTAGTCCCGATGGAAAAATGCAAAAGATGAAGGCCTCAGTGTGTGCAAGCTCAACTGCTCTTGAATTGGGTTTATTTCCTCTGGTAATTGTTACCAATGACTTCTGCCCCATGCTCAGCTTTGGGTCCACATGATAGGACTACTGCTGAGTGTCCTAGCTGCATGAACTGTTTCAGGACCAACTTTTGTTTCCCATGAGTAGCAGAGAAAGTCTTTGTATCATCAGAACAATTAATATTAGAGAAATTATCTTTGAGGGGATTAATTTTTCTTAGCTTTTCCTTGTTAAGATGCAATGGCATTAGAAATTTGGCCAAAAATAAACCAAATAAAGCAAAAACAGAAACAACGTCCAACTTCTTCAGCACTACTATATGGACCAACACCAGCAACCCTTTATGAGTATGTCTAAGCCTGGAGCCTCCCATTGGGGCTGTGTCATTGATCCCTCCTGTTTTGAGGCTTTCTTCTTGCTATTCGGAGCAATTCAGGAGCTATAGACTGACCTGCCTCTTCAGCCTACAGATATCTATCATGTGAGGATATGGCCTCAGATAACATAAGCCAATTAATAAATCCCCTTTCTTAATATATGTGCATACACACGGAATCCTGACTAACACAGATGTTGCTACTAGGAGTCATTGCTCTTATTCTACTTGGCCATGTGGTTTGGAAGCCTTGGAAGTGGCTTGTGGGAGGAATTTGGAAAAGTTTAGAGAAACAGGCTAGAGAGAGCCTGGAGACCAGTAAAACAGAGCTTAATGGACATTTAGGTGCAAGCTTGGGAGAACAGAATGCTGATAGGATAGGGGACGCTGGAGACTAGGCTCCAGGAGTTTGATATGGGAATGAAGGTTCTCTTGAGAACCTGACTAGAGACCATTTGTGTTGCATTCTAACAAATAAGTTGCCTTTGCAGCGACTTTGTCCATGCCCTCAGACTGTGCGAGGCTGAGTTTCAAAGTGGCAAACTGATTAATATAGTGGGAAAAACTTCAAGGCAGCCTAGCATCCAAGCTGTGGTACAGGATTAATAACCGATTTTCATCAGTTTAATTGTGAAAAGCATGAACAAAAGAGCAGATTTGACCATCGTGCATTCTTTTGTTTTTTTAAAGAATAAACTTATGATTGAAGTCAGGGTGAAGGGAAACAGTTACTGAAGATATTTGGTGCTGTTGTAGTGCCAAATACTTCACACAAAATCAATAGGCAAGGAACCTGGAGGGCATCTCAGGAACTGGCTGGACCTCACCCACAGCAGGTTCAGGGATGTAAACCATTTAACTTATTTGAAAGACTTTCCTTGAAGGAGAGAGCTCTAGGGTTCCCTGCTTGCCCAGGGATGCCTAGTAACATGGGTTTTTTTGTTTTGTTTTGTTTGTTTTTGTTTTTGTTTTTGTTTTTGTTTTTGGTGTTTAGCTAGCCATCAAGGTACAAATGCCATGGCCAAAATAGCCAGGATTCAAATGACTCAGGCAGACCTTAATGTTGTCCGCAAATGAGAAAATGTGTGACAGGGTCAGAGTCCCTGTGGGAAGTCCTGACAAGACGGTTGCATGAAACTGGAGAGTGAAGTTGAAGGTACAGCGGTGATACAGGAAGTTAATGATACCTAGAACAAGGAACATGTATCAAAAAAAAAAACCTGCTACAGCCAGCAAGCAGAGTCAGCCCAGGAATGAAGTCAAATGGAACACGTCTATCATAGATACAAAGGAAGGACTTCCCAAGCCCTGTGAAGTTTCACAATGTATTACCACATCCCCAGTCACTGGATATAGAAGCACAGGACATAACGTTTGCCCTATTGGGTTTTGATCCTAGCCTTCTGGTTAACACCTCAGTTGTTCTCTTTAGAACTGAAATGTTCATCCTGAGTCACGGTGTACTCAAAGTCTCTAATTTGCCCTTTGAATTCCGCACAGCTATGTGTGGATTATCTTGTGTCTCAGAGGAGATTTGGAACTTGGACTTTTGAATAATACTGGAACTGTCAAGGCTAGAAAGATGTGAGCCCTCGAGGGACAGAAGTGATGTATGTTGAGTTGAATGTAAAGAGTCCCCCCCCAACACCACCAAAAGTGCATAGAATTAAATTATTCCATCAATGAACTCATACTGAATGGACTCGAATGAGGTAGGAGCCACCTAGAAGAAGTACAAAGGGACTTGTTCATTATACACAAACTCCTGTTCCCCAGCTTCTAGCTCTGGCTGCCCATTTCCTGTCTGCTGTGAGTTGAGTAGTTTCCCTCCACCAAGGCTTTCTGCCATCACATTCTGCTTTGCCCCGGACATAAAACCAAAGGAGCTAGGTTACCGTGGACTGGAACCTGCAGAGCAATGAGCCAAAAACAACTCCCCCTCCTTTCAGGTGTTTGGGTTACATATTCTTGTCATGGTAGCGTAAAGCTGGCTTACACAGGTGAGGGATTCTGTGAAGACAGAGGCAAGAGGGGAGTTAGGCAGCTGGAGACCAAAGAACACCAAAGATTGCCAGAAGCTGCCAGAAGGTTAAAGAGAGGCTGGGATGCAATTTCCTCTGAAGAGCTTCCGGAGGAACCCAACCATGTTGATAGATAGTTACGTTTCTATTGACTCATCCAGCTAATAGTATTTCTGTATGGAAGTTGTCAGAAACTTACAAAAGGGGTAGTAGGTATTCAACCTGAATACTGAGCCCCCTCCCAAAAAATCATAACAATGTACAAAGTTAAATAAATCTATATCCTGAAAAAAGCCATTACATTTTATACTCTGTGCTAGAAGAGTATCAGTTATAATGATTCCATCCTTCTATTTCCTGTAGCTGAGCTCCAGCAATCATATATAGCCATAAGCTATATTTTAATCAAGCTCGTTTAACCAGATTTATCCCTGATCCCAAAGCCACAGTGATAAAATTTTTTATTGCTTGCTTTTCAAATCTTATTGATATAAAATCATGATCTTATACAAAGTGGCTTGCAGTTTTTTCCTGTCCCTAGATCATCTATAATTCACATTAGTTTATTTATTTGAGTGGCTTTGTAATAACATTATAAATCTACTTAAATGACCTACGCATGAAAATAAAATTCAGAGCTACTGATGTAGCTACATTTTTCCCATTGCTACATGAGCTGAACATCTAATGGTTCATAATCATATACAAATTCTTTGTTGTAGGGAAAAGAATTAAAATTTAAAACTGATTTTAAAGTTTATTTTAATAATATGCAGGGGGAATGAGTGTGTCTAACTCTGAGTTTCCACAAGAAAAGTCCAATATTTTTCTTTAACATATTCCATCAAACATAGTAAAAAGTTGGCTTGCTGTTGTTCTGCAATCTGACATTTAGGCTTATGTTTTTTAAAATTTTTATGTTTCTCATGTTTCTGATTCATTACGTTGTGCCTTGAGAGCATTTCTGTCTCACTTAGTATTCTGTTGAATCTGCAGAGATCTTACTACTTTAAATGTATATACTCTGTTCTTCCAGCATAAAAATCAGCCATTAAGTTGGAATGGTGGAGCAGCGATTTCTGGGTTTCATAGAGATTATTGAGGCTTACTTCTTCCTACAGAGACCATCTAGCTGCCATCTTACACATTGATGACCAAATAAAAGATTGACAGATGTAAAGAAATTGTGTGTCTTGTCAGACGTCCATTGGCTTTTTCCAATAGAGGAAATGATCGTTGGCTTTGTTAGCCCTTGGGAAATGCTGCCATCCATTTAATTAGTAAAGACACTGGTCTCTAACCAAGATGTGCATAGATAGTAATTTAGGAAACCAAAGGCTAGGAAGAGAGATACTTTGTATCAATGAGGTTAGAGAGGAACGTGAAACAGGATAGCTCTAGCTGAAATTGAATGGAACAGTCAAATTTCATTGCTAGGCCTGATTTCCCTAACAGAAAATATTGGAGATGCTGTATATATGAATGCCTTCCTGCATCTTCGTTTTTTGAAAGCATATCTTTAAGGCTTTGAGTGTGTGTGTGTGTGTGTGTGTGTGTGTGTGTGTGTGAAGCTCTGTGTATATGTATATATATAATATATTATATAAAATATATACACATTCCTTCACACTAAGATTTTCTAAAAGTATTTATGGTACATATAGTAATATCCAAAAGCTATAATTCCTCATGGAAACAATACTTATAGTATACTATTACCTTTTAGAAATTTTACAATACTTTAAAATCATTTTAATGACAAGTAAAAAAAAAATAAACACCAAGTTGGGTGGATGTTTGCTTTGCATGGCCAGTACCATTAAAATGAATGAAGCCAGAATTCAATTTCTGCAAACTTTTTCAGTTAAATTGCTTAGAGTAGGAAATTTGCCCTTACTGAAGTGAAATAAATGCAAATTTAATTCATTAGATGATGAGACTGGTATAAAAATCTTAACAGGAAATGTAAATGGTAATTGAAAATGGAGAAAGGAGATTTGTTTTGGTGACACAACAAATCATTCAGCATAAATTGTAAAATATACAAAAATATCACCAGAATATATTTCCTGCTATATACTAAATGGTATACATTTCTCTTTCAGACACGTGTCTCACGGACACATAAAATAAATGGAACTGAAGATTCAAGTGGGTGTGAATGTCGCAGACCTCAGAGAACCAGCAATGGCCCCTTCTTTTTTTTTTTTTTTTTTTTTTTTTTTTGGTTTTTCAAGACAGGGTTTCTCTGTGTAGCTTTGCGCCTTTCCTGGAACTCTCTTTGGAGACCAGGCTGGCCTCGAACTCACAGAGATCCGCCTGGCTCTGCCTCCCGAGTGCTGGGATTAAAGGCGTGCGCCACCACCGCCCGGCAATGGCCCCTTCTTATGAGAAGTCCCCAACAAAAACACAACTGAAAACAGAGGCCTGGCTATGATCTTGGTTTCCCAACATGTCTGTCACACACACACCCCGGGGGAATCATGCTAACTCTATGAGCATCCGTTTCCTCACCTGTATTAAATGGCATTTAAGTAATCTATACACAAACCTCTAGCCCTTCCCCTATCACAAAGATTTCATAAGAATAAAGCAAAAATAATGTGAAGTCCCCGGTAAATGGTAAAACATTGCAGAGGGGCAACGCTTTAGTGACATGCATGTTCCAGATTTCCATCCTAGATGTCTCTTGGAATATCCATGCTGGCAGCCTTCCAAGTTGCCCATATTCTCTGGATTACTAGAAAGCATGGACTCCACTAACATCATTGGAATGCACACTGCTGGGGCCACTGTAAGGACATTGTACTAAATACCCTTTACAAAAGAAGAGTCATTGCTGACCAACTTGCCAAACGCCGTCCAGTACTAAGAGCTGAGATGAAAGTTCATCATTGTCTACAATATGCATCTTCCCACAAAAGCTAGAGGCCAGGCATATGTCTATTTCCAAAGGTACCACCAGGGTGGGATATTCAGAAGTTGTAAATAAACATCATTGTGATCCCCTTCCATTATTCAAAAGCAGAAGCTTAACTTACAGATTGTCACTGTGCCCTATAAGGAATGATGCAAAACAGTGCTGCTCCCTGAGACCAGAGTCGCCTACATCATAGGTCCCAAAAACCTAGTGTTGGACAACACATTATACTGCTGTGATGATTGAGTTGAATCATCAATAGTTGAAGATGTGCAAGAAGTTGCTGTTGAAGCATTTGGTAAAAAGTACACAGTGCATTAGGAGCCAGAGGAAACCTTTATCCCATTGCTCACAACTAGCTTACATATTTGATACACACCTAACACAGGGAAGGCACCCAGTCATAGTTCAAATGAGATAAAAAAGCAAAAACAAAAACATAATTCTTCTCTAAAGATTGCAAATATTGTGTGTGTGTGTGTGTGTGTGTGTGTGTGTGTGTGTGTGTGTGTGTGTGTGTGTATTCTCTTCAGTCATGGGTAAGAAGAACAGGAGAAATTCATACGGTTAAGCATAAATTCCAATCATAAAATTTAGGATATATTTAAAATATATTTTCTTCAGAAAAGAAAATTCCAGGAATCTATGAAACGACTTGGTGGGTAAAGGTGATTTCTGCCAAGCTTGACAGCCTGCATTGGAACTCAGGGATCCACATAGCAATGGAAGGAAAGAATTGCCCTCTGACCTCCACAAGTGTACTGTGACATCTCCTCTCTCAAAATAAATAAGATGTGGGGCTAGAAAGATGACTCAGTGGTTGAGAGCACTGACTGCTCTTCCAGAGGACCTGGGTTCAATTCCCAGCACCCACATGGCAACTTACAACTGTCTGTAACTCCTTAGAACTAGAACGTGAATCTGACACCCTCATACATACATGCAGGCAAAAGACCAATGTGCATAAAATAAAAATAAATTATTTAAAAATAAATAAATAAGGTGTAATAAAATACTTAATGTCAGTATCTTTGGCATTAGGCATATACTATGGTTTTTTTCCTGTCTTGTTTTTTTGTTTGTTTTTTTTTTGGGGGGGGGGTTGTTCTATATTATAGATGTGGGATAATTTCTTTTCAAATACTTTGTAAAGAATCAGTTCAAGAGTAAAGCCCGAAGTACTTTATTATGAAGTCACTGAAACTGTATCATTAACTCTGCTTCTTACTAAGCAATTGAGGAAGACAGCACTTTGAAACATCTCGAGAACCAAATTCACGACCTCAGAAAAAAGCAGTAATTGTTTTGTAAATGAAAATCCTTTTCCTCACTCCAGCCAGTAACTTAATCTTTGGATGCAAATGTGGTTGGCAAAGTGGGTAACCTGAAGGAGTTAGCACGGAGCATCCTTTTACCTCGACGCCGGCAAAATATCTCTACTTGACAGTTATTAATTTCTAGTCAAATTATCCTGGAATAGGGTCAAAGAGAACTAATGGTCCTACTTTGCATTCCATGAAGTGCTGTGTTTCCGTGTTCAGAGCGAAGTGTTCTAAAAAGAAATGAAGCTGAAATCAGAAGCCGGTGTGCCCTTTCCAAAGAACAGGAGCCAGATTAATAAGCGCATTAAAGCTTCCCTATGTCTCCCGCACCTTCTACCAACAGAACTATCAGGATGTTTGTTCATGCTTGATCTAAAAATACAAATTCCTGGCTATGTAGGCCAAGGGCAGAGAATTTAAAGATCAGTAAAGGCAAAAAGTCATTACTCTTTGAATTTGGAATTTTTAATGTTTTTCTTTATCTATTCTTGAAAACTTTGTATGTGTATGCTACATATATATATATATATATATATATATATATGTATATATTGATCATCTCCACCCCATGTCCCCTTTGAACCCTTCCCAGACCTTACCACCATATCCTCCTCCCAACTCCATGCCCTGTTATTCTGTTGTTTATAACACACCAAGTCCAATTAGTGCTGCCTATACGCACATGATTGGCATCCACTGAAGCATGAGCAACCTACTAGGGACCACATTCCAGAAGAAAACTAATTCCCCAACCTTTCCCCACAGTCAACAATTGCCAAAGTACCTCAGGGGTGGGGCCTCATGAGCTCATCCTCCATCCATGTTAAAGTATTGATTGGTTTGATCTGGTACAGGTCACGTATAGGTAGCTATAGCTGCTGTGAGCTCATGTATGGATCATCCCATATCCAGAAGACCCTGTTGTGCAGCAATCCTCTCCAACCTCTGGCTCTTGCGGTCTTTCTGACACCTCTTCCTTATTGTTCTGTGAACCTTGCAGGGAGATGGTGCAGTCAATAGTGACTGTGGTGTGCTCAACCCCCAGACGGAATATCTATATCAAACCTCCCTCCTGGCTCAGGGAACAACATGACTTTGAAATTTCAGCACACTATAAACACTCAGAAGGAGATTTAGACTGTTAGTTATATGAAGCACACTTATCCTAATTCCCAGTTAGATAGTCCTTGAAATTTAGGTGATATCACAGTGATATTAGTTCATGAAACTCTTATGCAGTCTTTTCAGTTGGCTGGCAAAAATTTGAACAAACTATATTTTATGTTGTGGCATGGATATAATGCCAAGCAATTCATTTTTGGCTTTTATAAATTTACGGGACCCACACAGTGCATCATCAGTGAGGCATGTGTAGCAACATAGGCACTTAAGAGATGCAATGTAAATTGGAAAGAGACTTCAGCTCAAAGGGCATTTACCATCTGAGGAAGGAGCTCGCTAAGGTACCCTTGAGCAAGTCACTGTCTCTCTTTGAATTTCTGTTCCATCTCTAAAAAAATAAAATAAAATGGTTGAAAGCAATATCTATTATTATGAAATTACAGCAAAAATTATTGTGATGTTTGAGAGAAATGTATAGTTTTCTTCAAAAGGAGTCATCTGTATCTTTGCGAGTCCAGAGGAGACCACAGCTCAGCCCATAAGAATGTTCCCTACTTGTTAGAATTAATATTCAGCGTCAAACTCTAAATCTTTCAGCAGTAGACTGTCATGCACTGCAAACAAGTATTGCTGGACTAAATGAAGTGTCTGTCTACTTTCTTGACTCCATCTCCCAAGATAGAAGCACCAGGGTGCTCTTCATTACTTAACTGTCATACACACACTTCTTAAGGGTTTATTTCTCCATTTGTAATGTCTTCAGGAGATTGGTTGTTTTTCAGGATTTTTTTTTTTAATGTTTTTAATTGAAAGAGAATTGCGCCACTTTTTCCACTTCCCATTCCTCCCTACGGTTCCTTCCAGCTACCCTACCTCAAACCCCTCCCATCCCCTCCCATCCCCTCCCAAGTTGATACTCTTTTTTATTGATTATTATTGTCACATATTTACATATATGTGTGTATGTATGTATTTGTACACAATATATAATATATATATATATTAGTCTGAGTCTGTTTTTGTCGTGTGTGTGTATATGGTTTCAAGGCTGACCACTCTGCACTGCACATAATAAGGGGACATAATTTTCACCAGTTAAATTAATTTAGGTCTCTTCATCTCCTTACTCTTCCATTCCCAGTCTGATTATTTTTTTAAGTATTACTGGAAAATGTATCAGTCAAAGCTTTCAGGGTAGACATTATTATAAACCCAAAAACATCTCCTTATGAGATTCTAGGATCCTTGTTTTATAAAGAAAGGAGTTGAAAAGACAAAGAAAGAACCTGGAGGCAAAGGCCTGAGGATGCTGATGCTTTGGGGCAGACATCAAAGAGAGATGAAGTGTGAGGTTAAGAAGAGTTGTGGATTATGCTGATAGCAGATTCTCAGGACTTATAACTAAAGGTTTCCTGGAAGAAGGCTGATCTCAGATTTGGTTCTGAAGTGGATTTTCAGACTTCATGGGATGGTGACATGCATGACACCAACAAGCTTGTGGTTGCTGCCTTTCTTTTCTTACAGCAAAAGTCAGGACAAGAGACCGTTATGACAGGACACATAGAGTGGTGCCTCTCCCGGCTCAGGTCCTGGGGACAGGATAAGATTTGGAGAGACAATAAACCAGAAGGTAAAGGAGAAATTGGAAGAAAATAGGAGAAGCTGATCTTGGGCCTGTAAACAAAGTTGTCTCTTGAATCAGGAAAGAGAAAAAACTCCATCATCCACACTGTATTCACCTGAACCACTGCATCCCATTAAGTGAAAGGGGAGGGAGAATATTTTGTAATATATGTAGTATGCATATTACAGTAGGATTTACATATGCATGTAAATGTCAGGAGAAATTATGAAGGAGTTTGAAATGGCAAAAAGAGGAAAGAAGGGGGTTGGTGATTTAGCTCAGTGGTAGAGCACTTGACTAGCAAGCGCAAGGCCCTGGGTTTGGTCCTCAGCTCCAGAAAAAAAAAAAAGGACAGAAGAAAGAGAGAGGGGAGGCAAGAAAGTTGACATCAACTCTCCATTACAGTAATCTCTACCTTTGTCTTTTTCTGTACTAGATAGAAGACAATCAATAATGAAAAAGTTTATTGCCCATGGTGGGGCAAATGATACCTGAGCATACAAATGAAAATAGATTTTTTTTTCCAATGAGGAAATCTCTGATAGTTTAGCTCTCTTCTAACAAGTCAAATCCCATTCTGGGACCCCTGTTAATTGTTGAGTTAAAGGAAATCTTTGACATATGTTAGCTTTAAATTTATAGAAAGGTCATGATTTTCCTCTTTAAAAAAAGTATATTATCCTTGGTCTGTGTACCTAGCTTACTGTTACAGCACTTCCTTGAATGCATAAGGCTATGGGTTCAATTCCCAGAACCACCCACAAAAAGAAATTACCCTAATTAAATGTGGTGGTACACACCACAGTGGGAGCTGGAGGCATCAGGATTCTGAGTGAGAGGCCAGCCTGGGTTATACAGTGAGACCATGTCTCAAACAAATAAACATTGTCCTTTAAAACAAATGTTGAATATTATTTGAACAGTATTTTTTCCACCACTCCCTCTCCTACTCTTTCTTATCTTTTCACTGTACTTAATCTTTAGCATAAAAAAAAATCGACATTAGAACACACTGAACATAGTCGAGACACATGGCCAACAGGGGACCACCTCAGAGTTATGTGTTGTTGTTATGCCATGCCTACCAGAAACTGTATTGCTGAGAAGAACGTTTCGGAAATTTTTATCACAGACTAAAGATACATATACTCTCCAAGTTTATATAACCTATATTGTTGTAGCTTTTATCAAGTTTATATTAAAATTTTTAGTTAATATGTTATAGAATGAAAAAAATTGAAAAAGAACACCTTTTGTACACATTATAAATGTCTTTAAGAGAGTCATATTATTTTGTTTTTAAAGCCCCAGACATGTTGGTAGACATCATGTTACATGCCTTTAGTCATTTGGGACATGGAGTTCTGTGAATTTGAGGGCAGCCTGGTTTACACAGTGAGCTCCAGGCCAGCCAGGGTTGCACAGTTAGACTCTGTTTCAAAAAAGAAAAAAGAAAGAGGAAAAGAAGGAAATAGAAAAGACTTAACCATCTCTATGCCATGGTCATGAACTTTTTTTTTCTGATTTTCTTCACCAACAATTCAGTGGCAATGAACATTCGAGCAGGATGGAAGATCTAATCCGCACTTGTATAAGTGCACCAGAATGCACCCTACACAAAATGATATAACGTTGGCCAAATATGCACTGTCCTTGTAAGCTAGAATTAATTGGAAAGTCAGGTAGTTCCAGAATACAGGGTAAAGTAGTTGCTTTAACCTTTGGAAAAAGTAACTTGCCTCCACTTCTCACCAAGGTGAATCTCTGCCCGATATGTCTTAGCAGAATAAATATGTTTGGCCTTTTTTTAATACAGCAAGATGCAAAAGAAAATCAGATAGAAGTGAATAACCTAATACATCCGATGACCCAAAGTCATCTTTGGTTTTTTTTTTTTCCCAACAGTAAGGACAAATTAATTTTCTCTCTTGCCTTGGCATTTATGAATGCTAATTTAATCACAAAAATTTGGACTTCCTGTGAGAGAATTCAAAGCCACATTGTGAGCATGATTTTCACATAAGGTTTGCTCCTTTCTCCAAAATTAGAAAGTAAAATAAAAAAAAATTCCATGCTTGTATTAGACCTTGGGCAAAATTAGCATAGCCCTGCCATCTCCTGTTAGTTGA